ACTTATATATGTGAAAGACTGAATTTTCAATCCGCGACATGCCTGTACTCTTTCTCGAGGATATCTGCTGGAAGAGGATCTCGTTTCTCCAGCTTTTCTCCGGAGAGTGCGGAGAGCGTGGAGAGTCGAGTGCAGAGCGGAGTGGAGTATAGCGTGCAGTGTGGACACAACTCAAGAGAACATGACTGGGGGCCAAAGCGAAATGGAGCAGATCTGACCGAGCATGTAGGACGGAGAAAAGTGCAAGTTAGAAAGGAAGGGAGGTGAGTTGAATATGTTGAATCCTGTGGAGCTGAGCAAGAATGAAGAGACACGCATGAAGTTCTTTTGACGGTGCCACCTCCGAGCCTGGGAAAGGTTTGAATATGTTCGGAGTCACACTCAAACCCTCAAACCTCAACCCCGGCAAAGGGAGCTTGCATGAGAACAAGTCGCACCTAGAAACAAGACAGGCTCCTAGAGGAATAAGTGCCAAGCCGGGTCAACCCGAGCCAAGCCGCACCCAGGAAAATTGAACGGCCCCAACGAAATGCCAAATGAATCACGAAGTCGAACAGGAAAGAGCTCGAGCGTTCAACTACTACCTAGCGAATGTACTTGCTTGAAGCGCTGGTGCGAAGCAGCTGTCCTCGTCATGGAAAGGTCGTTCAAGAGTACGCAGCCATTCCGAATACGAGTTCTGGATGATGTCCATCCTGATTCGGGCACAAATGGGCAATTGAATAATTGCCTGCTATCATCTCTGACCCAATGCGCCTGATGCTCAAAGGCATATTTGCAAGAATGTCAGCCTGAACATCCATGTGTTGCGAGGAAGACACTCTGATGCCGCGTAGGCTTCCAAAAGCCACTGACTCACTCATGGTGGACTCTGTCTTCGCCTCATTGAAGATGGACTTCTTGTGAAGGACATACTGCGTGTGCTCGCGGATTGCAGCCCTGAAAGCAATTGACAGCCTTAAGGATGACGATCTTGAATTGCGGCAACACAGATGGAATTCTTAGACTCTTCGGATTCGCTGTCTTGGATCCTGTTTGACAAAGAAACATCGCATGCGGTGCCACGTGCATCAGCTTGCAGGGCTGCGCTGCGCGCAACTTACTGAGGGAAGGGGCACGAGGGGAAGGGGGGAGGGGGGGGGAATCCTCGTTTTGAAATCTGGTCATCTGTTCGAATTATCTGTATTCCCATCTTGAGGGTTGAAGAAATGTGGCCTCCTGGAAGTATACAGCGCCCCATGTTTTTGCAGTGGTCCACACACAGAAGCAAAATGTGGCCTCCTCTCCCCCAAATACATTTAATTCTGGCGGAGAGGTCTTGTCCGAAATTGCCTAACAAAGTCTTCGACGAAGTGTGGCGGGCATGAAAATTGGCGGGAAGACGACAGCAGAAACTTTGCAGCCGAGAGCATGCGTTCATGCGTAAAAGCATATAGGACAGGATGAAGGCCCATGGCTGTCCGTTTAGCAGGCTTAACCAATTCGCATCCACAAAGTGTCCATTTGCCCACGATGTCTGTCTTGTCTAACATGTCTGTCTTGTCTGTCTTGTCTGTCCTGTTGCAGTACCGGAGTTTTTGGCTCAGATATACTGCCGAACTCACGGTCGAGCAAGAAGGCTGGTCAGTTACAAAAGAACCAATGCTGCACGACAAATGCTGAGAGGAGAATTATCGCCCTGTCAAACCAGCTTATTCTCCACACTGGAAGTGCCAACAATACTGGAAGATCATAGAGATCATGCTGCCTCAGCAGGCGGGGCATTCTTCGGCCAGTGCACCACTCCTGCTTCATGAGAGGTATGGTTTGAAGATGTTTGAAGTCGTTGCATGAGAGAAGTTGCCCAGATGCCGCGGCATGCTGAGGCGCTGCGCCGCTGCGCCTTGATCTCATTCAAACGCTTGTTTGTCTCATTGGCGCGAGGGTTCGCGGATTCCAGCAAAGAGGTGACCTGGGACTATGTGACCATCTGGGATAGACGACAGACGGGACAGCAACGACCATTGGCCACCAGGGTGCTGAGGAGAGAATGAAGCCGAAAGCCGTTGCACCAAAGAGCTGAAGCACGATGCAGAAAAGTCGCTCATCCTTAGCATACTTCCGAATGCCCAGAAAACTCCGAGCATCGTCGCCGTCGCTGCGGCACCGGCTGTGTTTTTTGCCCAGATGTCCCCATATCCTACAGCCATCATGGTGGCTGTAATGAAGTGGAATGATGCGATGTACCTCTCGGAGATACAGAGCGTGGTTCTTTTCTCCCATCAGTTGTGGGTCGGGAGGGGCACTTAGAGACCAAACCAAACTTGTCCACGTTGTACACCCTTAGTTTCAACGCCAAGCACTCACAATCTCACATATCGACGCAACCGTTTTCACAACAAAGGCTTCATACTGCTTCATCACACCGACCACTGGACTTTTGTCCGCATTGTCAACGATCAGCGTTGCCAGATGTCCTAAGGTACGAATATCGCTAATTGGCCCAAGGAAATGGGGGTTGACCATTTACACACGAAGCGGATCTGCCGCTTGTAGATCAGTATGCCTTCAAGACATTCGAAGCGTATGGCATATGCCAATCGCACTGGGCCTGGTTGCAAAAATAGAGGTCCTGTTCAATTCGGCACGGTGTGGCAGCAGGAGATCAAGAGAATCGAAACTCTTTAACGAATTGGGGTGTTCTCGACGACGCGGTTGAGTAAACCAGCTAGCTCAAGACGAGCACGTGCTCCCATGTGCCCCCGACCTAAGCATCCAATTTGGAGCCCGGGCAGGGGCTTGCGCTGTCCTTCCATTCACGGCAAAAGCCAGCAGTGGAACCCCGCTATAGCTTAGATTGTGCGATGTGCAACACCTTTGCTGCACTTCGCGAAGCAGGTTGTGCCACCGGAAGCTTCATTGCTAATTGCTAGAAACCTTTTATTTAAACCGTTCGCCCACATCTGTACCATGGCACGACATTCTGCTTCAAAGCTTGGAAGATTGCACCGAATCAAGCAACAGGACAGAGCAACATCCACACGATGCGACAACACGGTATCATACCCGAGGAGAATGATCGCAATTAATGTGAAACTGTGTGAATTCTGCGTTGAGAAAGCAGACTCATCATGTCACAAAGGAGCCAAGTCCTCCGGCAGGTATATCTGATTTATCTGATCATGCCAGATGCATGACCCTGAGCAGGCGCCTCCTTCGTGGCAAAGTTGAATATCAATTGATCTAAGAAAGAGGCGTTGGAAAGCACGCAGCCTGCTCAAGATGCAGACAAAGCATCGGAAAGATGCAGAGGTCGCACTCTTTGCAAGTCCAGCCTCGCTTCTCTGCTGCCAGCTTTACGGCGTCCTGGCATTAAACACACACTTACAAGAAAAAAAACTCAAAATAGAGCACAGCCTCTGGTGGAAAACCGATGCCTTCAAGGACATGCCCATGGCACCAGCAAGGAAGGCGACAGCGGCCTTAACAACTTGAGATCTTATGCCCAGCTGCCGAAGGCTTGGAGCAAGTCGGAAGCTGAAGTGTTGCTAAAGACGGGCCGATGGGAGTATCTAATGTTGTTTGGTCGGTCTTCGCCTCTAACATGCCTACCGGTCCAACTTCGCATCAAGGGTCTGTCTTGCACCTTTCTTGATTTACTGGCCGGCATATCTTGTCCTGCATTCCAGTGGACGTCAAAATAGTCTCGCTGTCCTGGCCTATTGCAGAACGAAGTACATCCAAGCACCAAGGGATGCAAGCATAGCATATGATCGTGCAAGAAGAGCATAACAACATCGTCTGAGCACGGCTACCCAAACAGAGCGATTGATGCCCATGATGCAGTGCACCAGGACCTGCCAAAAGGGAAGCTGAAAAAAGAAAACAAACTAAGGATGCCATCTACACCAGGCCTTCCGTCCATCTCGCCTGCACTCGGTGAGGAAGTCCAAGATCTGCCGAGGTGTCTCAAAAGGTGTACAAAAGATTACAAAAGCGCAACAAACCCTTATGACCCTTGTAAGGTTCTTGGTGGAAGGCATAAACGAAGCACTGCAAACCATGAAATGCACGCACATTTATATCTAGCTAGTCAGATCCATAGCCATACTGGCAAAACCACACTTTCCCGTAAAGAGTTGTGACTTGCACTGGCAGGCGGCAAGCAAACTCTTTATCAATGAATTTGCGTTGCGTGAAGTGGTATGATATACTTGGGATTTGTGATTAGCAATGTAGACATGCTTCAGAAAAACGGCGTGCACAACAAGGAGTAATTCAAAAGCGCCCGGCAAAGTGATTGTCCTCACGAACACTGAGTGCAAAAGTAAGACAAAGAGTAACTGGGCTTAGTGACAAGTGTGATCTCACTTTTCTGGGGTCGACATTGCTGGCAGATCACTATTGTAGGGGCCACGGCTAAGCTCTTTCATGAAAAGATCGTTCACTTTGCAGTCACCCTTCCGGAAGGTGATCTACAAACTCGATCAGTATTTCAGATCACTCATATTTTGCTGTGAATGATTCATGTTGGGCGTCTCACGGGGTTGTTGCCAGGCCAGTGTGTACCGAGCAGAGAGTAAGAAGAGAAGCCGGTACAGTACATACTGTAGATCAGGCCACCGTCGGGCGAGATCAACTGTGGCTTTGTTGTTTGCTGTGCCTGCACGCACTGCACGATGCAGGACTTCGCAACTGCATTTACATGGCACACCATCGGCCTGCAAATACCTAAAGACACGTGCACAACCGAGCGCCCCTCCCGGCCACCCTGAGGGCTCCGTTTACTTCAAAAGCGTTTTATGTTCACACGACATCTTGCACGTCTCAGCACTGTGGGCTAGGACGGCGTGAGCGCCTTTGCTGCACAACAACGGAATCTCTACTGGCTGACGATCCTCGCAATAGGCATGCTAGACCTGAGCCAAAATGAGGCACTCATTTTCCTCCATTTCAATGCTTGCGGGAAGGGCTCATGGTGGTTCATCCGTCAGGGACTTCCCATGACCCTTCATCTCATCTCAGGAGGGCTCATCGTCTGGGTAGCTGCTACCACGTCTTTCCATGTTCAAGTCATAGGTGTAGCGCAAGCGGCTGGAGGAAAAGACGCTGACTTGCGCCGTCCTGGCTACAGTCCGGCAGTCAAAACAAACGAAGGGGACCACTTACATAGACTTGCTTGGGGATTAGAGACAGAGTCACTGCGCAGACCCCAAGTGCCTTCAAATATGCAGATTTACATTCTCCGCTCCTTCGCCTTTTCATGCCTTTTCATTCATGGCTTTTCATGGCTTTTTGCTTTCCGTCCACTCGATCAACGAATCACCGACCGAGGACCGGGGCCTGACAGGATATGTGTATGGCCGCTTGCTTTCCAGAGTTCGGGCATAGATAAGCGATCCACGGGTTGGGCAGCTGATTCCGCCCACAACAACCTGAGGTTGATTCAAATTGATGCAAAAAACTTGATGCAACAAGCGTCATATAAGTGAGTGGCGGTTCCAAAAAAGCGCATCCCAAAGTCTGATGGTCTCAGATGGTCTCAGAGAGAAGCCCCCCTAAAAAAAGCCTTCAAAGAAGGACTTTTTCAGAGGCCCCGGCAGGGGTCTGCAGCGTTTCCGACTCGTCGGTGAGCTTGCCCTGCGTCGCTCCCATGAGCCTCAGCCTGTGGAGTAGCATGCCTCAGAGAGCGACGTCACTGTGAGAGCCTCACGCGTGTCGGCACATGTGCTACGACGACTCCCGCTTCCAGCAAACACACGGAAGACAAAGAGAGAGAGAGAGAGTGAGAGAGAGAGAGAGAGACAAAATGACAAAGCAGTCTCCACCATGGTGTGAGCACCATTTGAACCACAATGCTGAAGCCCCAGGATGTAGCGCCCGGCACCGTCTTCACGGATGTGGCCTCCATGTACTGAATGGTTTGTGCATTGGGCGCTCCCTCAGCTTCTGGAGCGCCATAGAAGAAGGAAACAGGGCGTCCTGTAGCTTCCTCAATTGACGAATCTCTTGAAGCTTCAGGCCATGATGGGCACATGGCCACAACATCTTGCTGAAATGCTCAGCATGACTACGACCACACCACAAAGCCTCAGAGAACCTCCCTGTCTCGTAACAACCTGCTGAATCAACAGGCTGTTTAAGGCACACTGATTCTGCAAGGATCTTCCATCACAGCAGCGAACCACTCACCAGCATTCCATCCTCTGCAGCTGCACGATGAAGACTGTAGAAAGTGAAGTTCAGGATCTGGAAAAACACACTTGACACACTGCAATCAGGCTTGGTTGCTTGCAGGAGACGACCATCGGGAACTGGCGGCTTTCCAATTTGCATTCTCCCAGCGAAGATCCGAGAAGTCAGAGCGTAACATCGAAACCTGGCAACATGTTAAAAGGTGCTTGGCGCACAGGTCAATACATGCCGCACTGCCAGTGCACTGCCTTCCAACCGACTTTGCCACCACATCTTTGGCACGTCCTTGTAGTTCTTGGCAGCTAGAGTTCTGTTCATTGAAGAATACGAAGCGAAGTCCCTTCGATGACACCTTTGCAGCTTGCTCCGAAGAACACGCTACTTTTTTGTGTGAGGCCACCACATTTGCCAATTTGAAGTCGAGTGTCTGCTGATATCGATTCTTCACAGCTGGGCCTCCGTGCTGTCAAGTAGCTGACATCTGAACGGGCAATAACGGGCACAAAAAATGCTAGTGGACAGAGCTGAATTTGCGCCTCCTGTTCTCGGCACAGTCCACACAAGAAAACCGACGCTCTCTGGCTCTACAAGGGTAGGGCCAGAGGACCTGCAAGAAGTCTGAAACTCAGTTTGTGGCAAACAAAGATTCAAAAAGACGTTGAATAGCACCTGGGCTCCTAACTGGCTCGCATCTCGTACATGCTTAATCCTCGAGCATCTGCCTGATGACATTTCTCTGCGATTCCTGTGGAATGAAATTTTGATGTCTGGTGAGATATGCTGAGAAGTTACCGATTACACTTATCAGGCCGATGCCGGGATTCCCGGAACCCCCCCCCTCTCGTGCGTTCAACGTAGCCAACTCTGTTTGTGAAAGTCCCTCCGTACGCCGTGCACATGTCTAGAGAGTCTAGCACGAGCTTTCACCGAATAAGATGTGTTCAAACTTGTGCCACTCTTTCGTGCCTGCGCAAGCAGGACAACCATCAGTCGGCGGGTCATGAGGGGCTCTTGCAGCTCCAGCGCTTCGCCCTTGATTGCGGACTTGGCCCTTCCAAGCCGTGGGGTTCGGGGGCCCCGTGGGCCCCGTGGGCCTCGTGGGCCCCGTGGGCCCCTCTCCGCTGCGAGCTTGACGAGGCTCTGCCCATTCTGCCGATGCGCCACGTACAGTACCATGTGCTTCGTATTGCGTCTCGTTAGACCACAGCCATGGCTCGGATGCTAAACTTGATCTACACTCTACACCTCGGAATGCCGAGGCTTGAAACACCTGTCGTGAAGCCGGACCAACTGCCGACTGAAGACGTCTGAAGACAGCCCCAGCCGCACAAAGCAAGCACTGCACCTCCTGACAGTGCCCTCGCATGTCATATCCGGCCTGCCACAGGCTGCACCTACAGTCAAAGCTCCTTATCGCTCAATGGAGAGGCCTCGTCTTTTGCTGGAAATCCCTCATACAGAACGTCCAACCTGTGAAGACGCACAACCGCAGGACTCTCCAATCAGCAGACAATCCGAGATGCGGACTCTAAGACATCAGAGTACCAGTCAGCATCAAAGCTGGCCAGGCTCCAAATCTGAGAACACTTTCTACAGCAAGGTACTCTTGAGCTGAAAAGCAACTCATACTGATCTGAAGCCTGGTCCCTTCTGAGACCGAGCCAGCTCGATCCAAGCTTCGCCTCCTGAATCTGCATTGCTCAATTGCTGCTTAATTGCTGCGCCAAGCGTTCTCTCACATTTCTCCGGGCCGTGCACCATGCCCATCGACGCATTGCGTGTATGGGCTCTCGCACGGCGCTGACACCTGCGATGGCAAGCAATGCAGGCAGACTGCATGACAGTGCAAGAGCCCTTTTTCGCAGTGCCTGTGCGGCTTGAAGCAAGCTATTTCAGCCTCACCTTTCAGTGCCATGCAATCACTGAAGAGTGCCACTTCAAGGAATTGCAGAATTTCCATGGCCGAGCAAGTCACAGTCGTGGACAGCGCAGTTCAGCACTGCATCTATTCCACGGTCGCGTAAGGCACGAAGATTCAGCGCATCCTTTGTGAGACACAGCTGCTCCATCGCTCATCTTCTAAAGCTCTGAGACTCCACAACTTTGGCGAAACGAAGTGCCTCCAGCGATCCAATCCACAGCTCAAATCCAGTGGCATCCTCCTTCAACACCTGGCAGGAGACTTTTGCCGACATTTGCACTCCATCAAGGAGATTGCCCCTGGTCTACAAAGAGCCATGGCTCCCCACCAGATCGGCGGTGAAGGAGGAGAAGCCCGTCAGCCTCACACGATCACAAGTCGTGCGGCTTCTTCGCACTGGCACGAATTTGGGGCCACGTGGCTTGGCCATGCATGTGCTGGAGTCATCGAAATCGGTTAAGCTGGGATCAGTTCACAACAGCATCACACAGGCTCTCAGGTCACTGATGACTCATGAACTCACATGAGTTCACACAAAATGTCGATGAACAGGACATGGAGCTCCGGCTGGTCTTCTTCCGAGCGTCTGCCATCCTGCGCTGCAAAGGCTTGTAAGTGACGAGCGTAGAAACGTGGAGCATCGAAGTACATCATCGAATATCGACATCGTAGAGCTGGGTCTCTTCCATTGGTGAGGTCAAGAATATTTTTTGAAAAAAGAGAGCAAAGGCAGCAACACCCCCCAACACCTTTGAAACAATGCCAATACGGCTGGCTGCTTCCCAGAAGAGGACGTGAATCTGTAAGCAAGCCAACTGTGAAACATGGTCATGCAAAAGCTCACAGATTCTGGGCAAGATTGTGCGAACCAACATCCCACGACTATCCCACCTCTTCGGCAGCTTCCTGGAGCGGGTCAACACGACACTGCCAGGGTCAGCTCTGGAATGGATTTGCATAGCTCCTCATTATCCTTCGCACGGGCTTCCTCCCGCTTTGCGCCGAGCTCATGAAGCAGAGCCTGCTCAAAGAGAGAAAACGTGGGCAAAACTATAAAACCCTGAACACAGAGAGAAAGATATCTCAACAGTTCTCGACACATCCACCAACAAGTGGGGGGTAGTCGGGGGCCTTCAGCGAGGTTCGGAGCCTCGGGGCAAGCTCACACAGATTGGACTCTTCATCTGGGCCAGAAATTGCACACATCTGCACACATCAGTCAGCGAATGTCACAAAGAGCCCCTTGTCTCTCAACCGAGATCACACCCTCGAGGCCGCAGCTGCACCGCGCCGGCACTGTGCCCACCCGGCTCCGACTCGCCAAGCAACGCCATCAACAAAGCCTTAACTCCGAACCTCTATGACTATCTCAAGTAAGGGTCTGTGTTCATTCTAGCTTTGTGCTCTGCATTGGTAGCTTCTCAAGATCCCACGCACCGTGGTATTTATTTGGTTCGCCAGCTTCTGGATGTCTCTAGGCTCAAGGGATTGTTGTCGGAGACAATGTTGCAAACTGTCTTCCGATATCTGAACAAGTCTGCTATTCATCTTGCACAGGCACGGGCGCGGCAAGATCATTGCATTGTACGGTGCACCACATGCAACGACACATTTGCAGAGCAAGCAGCCTCATGCACAATCGACAATCACACATCCCGCCTGATCCAATTCGGACGCAAGTATACATCGTCGAGTCTATCTGAGCATGGATCAACGGAGGAGATGTCCTTCAGCCAGCAATATTCCAGCACTTGTAGGCAATTGAAAGACTTACAAGTACGGACTGTCATGCCTCGCATCAGCCCTGCTTCGAGTCACATCGTATTCGGCAAACGAACACCGATTGCCGACGAGTTCCCAGGAGTTCACCCATGATCTTCGATCTCGTCTTAACAGAGACGCATAACCATTGCAGCCAAAAAGGAAATCATCATGCCAACGATGCAAAACACGGAATGTTACGTCGCTCAAGTTCACACATGGCTGAGGTCACACAAGTCCAAATCTGGCTGTGCATGAAGGGTAGCCAGATGCGGGCAGCTCCGGTATTGAAAACAACCAACCACGTACCAAGTGAGCTTTGGCCAGAGTAAGACGAGTTCCCGAAGTCTCTGGGTCAGCGTGGGATTGTTGTGCTGTTCTTTGAATGATTCATGACCTGTTGTTTGTTGCTGCCTACTGCTTCCTATGCTGATCGCTCCGAACAAATCCATCCAACAATTCGACACAAGGAGCCACGCCATCTGATTCCGACGAAGCATCTGTGAAATAGAGCCCAGAAAAAGATTCCAGCATGCCCATCCACACAGCGGAGCCGACGCCCCGTTCGGCCCCGTTCGACCCATCAGGATTCAGGACAAAGGAACCAAACGAAACGAGCCCGAAAAGAACCCAAAAGGCTCCCTCTCGAACTCCTTGGACTCCTCGCAGTGAGGCAGCGCAATGAAGTGCCTGTCGTCCCTTTCTCTCATGTTTCTCCCATGACATTCTCACATCACACCATCTCGACTCCCATGGGGCACACCACATGCACGCCAGGAGATGCGCGAGGAACACGATGTTCATAATGAGCCTCACCTGCCACATGTAGCCACATGGAGCTGAAGCGCTTCAGAGCACACAACACCTTTATGAGCCGATCATTTGTACTTTTTGCATGGACATGGCATTCCTGGCATCTGATCGACAAGTGGCCATTCGAATCATAGCAGGCTTGAGATGCAGCTGCTCTTCGAGGATGGCAAGGAACCTCCGTTGCTGCAACAAACTCTTCAGCAAAAAGAAGCGCTGCGACGCTGCAAGAGAAGCCTGCCAAGCTTGAAGAGCCTCATGAGCTTGGCGAGTCGGATCTCGGAAGGGCAACGACACAATACGCACCTCTTCAGAAGCACTGTAAATTTAAAGTGTCATGGAAACTCGTGTGTCAAACTGAGCGCTTGACCAATCTGACAAACTTCATGAGTTTCACCGACCTCTTTGTTTCATGCAAGGATGCGTGCAGAGTGCTTGGTAGATTGTCGCAGTTTGTCTGACACTGACCACTGCATTTTGCCGAACATGTGGTGTCCAGAGCATGTGAGTGTTGAGTTTTGTGGGCACTGTCCATTCGGAGCACCTGCCCGTCTGACACCTCTAGATGGCACATATGTATGTATGTATATATATATATATATATGGTAGCCCCCCCCCCCCCCCAAAGATCTACCTTTTTAACACTGTTTTTCAAGGAGACAACACAATAAAACAATGCAGTCTGCTTCTCCGATTCATCTGCTGCTCAACTTCATAAACTCACAATGAACTCACAAGTGCTTCATAAGAACTATGACTTCTGTGTTACAGCCGTTTTAATTGAAACGGCCGACGTTTCAATTGAAACGGCCGGGATCCAAGATCCAAGATTTTGAGGGGCTATTGGAAATGCATCTTGGAATCCTATATCTTGGATCCCAGCCGTTTCAATTGAAACGGGAAACGTTTCAATTGAAACAGCCGGGATCCAAGCTAGATTCCAAGATGCATCTCCAACAGCCCCTCAAAATCTTGGATCTTGGATCTTGGATCCCAGCCGTTTCAATTGAAACGTCGGCCGTTTCAATTGAAACGGCCGGGATCCAAGATCCAAGATCCAAGATTTTGAGGGGCTATTGGACATGCATCTTGGAATCTTATATCTTGGATCCCAGCCGTTTCAATTGAAACGGAAACGTTTCAATTGAAACGGCCGGGATCCAAGCTAGATTCCAAGATGCGTCTCCAACAGCCCCTCAAAATCTTGGATCTTGGATCTTGGATCCCAGCCGTTTCAATTGAAACGGCCGACGTTTCAATTGAAACGGCCGGGATCCAAGATCCAAGATCCAAGATTTTGAGGGGCTATTGGAAATGCATCTTGGAATCTTATATCTTGGATCCCAGCCGTTTCAATTGAAACGGAAACGTTTCAATTGAAACGGCCGGGATCCAAGCTAGATTCCAAGATGCATCTCCAACAGCCCCTCAAAATCTTGGATCTTGGATCTTGGATCCCGGCCGTTTCACTTGAAACGTTTTCGTTTCAATTGAAACGTCCGGTTTTCGAGATCTAGGATTCCAAGATGCCTTGGATAGAGTCCTGGGAAATCTTAGATCTTGGATCTTGGATCCCGGCCGTTTCAATTTAAACGGAAACGTTTCAATTGATTGAACTTCTAGACTCCGGGATCCAGGATGCAAGATCCCGTGGAAACTTTTTCCTGGAATCTTGAGTCTCGGA